GAAATTTTTTAGCGCGAATCGTTTGAGCCTGATCGCACCTTAACCGGCGAGGTACTTCATTATTTGAAATGTATCGTTGCATAAATTTTAATGCAACGTCCACTTTTGTGTTTGAAACTACCTTAGCCGTTGGGAATTTTGACCATTTATCTACTGCCACTAAAATGTAAGCGTCTCTACTTAACTCGTCGGGGAGCGGTCCCGCAAAATCCAGTTGGACTTCTTCATTTGGTTCAACTACAGGTTCCATTTGGAAAGAATGTTGCTTACCGATAATTCATTTTAAGTTTTTATCTTGTTGTGTACGTTCTCGACATCTTAACGCCATTTGTACTACTGTCCTGTGTATATGCGGGAACCAGATATTTTGGCAGAGATCGAGCATGGCCGCAGAACCGGGATGCGTGAGATGTAGGCTGTCCAGCACCGTTTGCCTGAGTTGCGTTGGTAGGACTATGCGGTCGTCGATTAAGAGGCAGTCGTCTTTCACATGCAGACGATTTCATATGTTGTACCAGTATCCGCCAGACGACAATTTGAGTGCGTTCCAGTCCCGTTTTCGTACGAAGTTGACAAGCGGTCTTAAATTCTTGTCCTTTCGGGTGGCCGCTGCGATGAAGTTAACCCCCAACACTTTTTGGAGTTTTCTTCTATAGAGTGGTGTATCGTCTTCTTCTGTGTTGATCTCCCTGTCGATTGTGGCGAAAATTTCGTTCACGATGAGATTGTGGCTAGCCTCCAATTGAGTTGTTGTCATAGTGGGAGGTTCGTTATTTGGTTGGAGTTCTTGTATACTGACGTTAGGGTCCACACGGCTTACGCAGTATCCGTAAGTTTCCTTTGTTTCGATTGAAAGATCCGTTTGGAGGATTACATTAACTGGCATAGTTGTTGTTTGCGTGGCAGTTGTTGAAGTTACTTTCATTGTTGGCGGCGTTTTCCCACTAGATCCCTCTGTTGAGTCAGTGAACACAATTTTTGGCAAGGTTGCTGGTTTTCGTTTATGTTCTTTCTTGCGTCCTTGACGGCGTCTGGTTTTAGTTTCACGTCTGATTGTTTTTTCTTTGGTGGTCTTCTATGCCAAGGCGGATCAGATAGGCTCTCCTCTCTAACTGACTCTCCTTGCCATTGGTATTTGTTTGTGTGTTCTCTTGTTGAACCTCGTTCTTCTTTCTGTTCTTTGAGTATGAATCCTCCTGTAAATTCTGTCATAATTTGTTTTCTCATTTTTTCTGACCGTCTTTCGTTGAGTTGATTTGTGCGATTTATATCGCGAGCTTTTTAATTTTTTGTCGTTGACTGAATTTGAGAATGGGTTGTGAGCGAATGATTCGGTTTTGCTTTGGATCAGGTTTGAGTGTTTGACCGCTTATGTAATGACTGCTATGATCATAATGCGATTGAAGTATTGGTTGGTTTAATTTCGTCCCTTTTTTTCCTCGCGTTTTTTGATCAGCCGATAGGGCGCTAGTTTCCTATTGGCTAATTGGTTTAAAATTCATTTGTCAATCATTTCAAAATTGTTAACGAATGAGTTGATTGACGCCACAACAAATTCCTCATCGTACGCGCTGGGGGGTGTTGCAATTCAACCAGATTTCGGGATATATAGTCAACTAATCCCATTTTGCTCCCTGCCAGATGTTTGATATCGAAGTTAAAAGGGATTAATCGGTCAATCCATCTTGAGCCTACTTTGACTTGTCTTGGATCTTTCACTGGCGTTTAAAGCACTGATCAAAGCTTGATGGTCGGTAATTACCGTAAAGTTTTTTTCGTAAAGATAATATTTGAAGTGCTCAATCGCCCACACGACCCCCAGGAGTTCTAACTCATTTACTGAATATTTTTCGTCTAACGAGTTAAGGAATCTTGATGCCTACGCGATAGCCTCCCACCGCTCGTTTGTGTTTTTTTTCTAATGCTGCGCCGATTCCGTATGTAGATGCATCGCAAAGTACTCGTGCGTCGAGGTTTTGGTAAAAGTGTTTGTTTTGTGTAATTTCTGTGACAAACTTTTTAATATTATGGAATGCGGAATCATGCTCCGACGACCAAATAAGTGTTTTGTGTTTGCCTGTATTCTTAAGAAGGGGACGGAGTGCTGCCGCGGCCTGTGCCAAATGTGGGATGTACCTTGTAAGATGATGTATTGATCCCATGAAACTTTTAAGTTGTTTAAACGTTTTAGGTGGAAGTTTTTCTATTGCGTCTGTTTTTCTTGAAAGGGGGGTAGTTCCTTCACTATCTATATGAAATCCAAGCCATTCAATTTGTTTGCATGCGAACTAACACTTATCCTATGATATTGCGAGGTTTTCTTCATCCAGTCTGTGAAGAACTTTTTCCAGTGTTTCCTTATGTTTTTCTATCGATCCTTTTGTGATGATCAGAATGTCATCTAAATACGCGTAAGTATTTTTACAATTGGTTATTGTAAGATCGATCGCTTTCTGAAATTCTGCCGGCATGTCTGTCAGGCCGTAGAACCCAGTTTCGAACTGAAAAGTTCCCGTGGCATTTCCCCCTATGAGACTAAAATTACATTGTTCTCTCGTTTTCTTATCCAACGGAATTTGTGAATATCGTAAATCAAGGGAAGAGAATAGCGTTTGTTCTTTCGTATCAGATTTTTTTGTTTGCGATGTTATCGAGTAAAAGATCAATAATTGGAATTTGATACTTGTTTTTGTGAATGAACCTGTTAAATTTCTTAGAGTCCAGCGCAAGTATGACTGTTTGGTCTTTTTTACTGTTATTACGATCGTACTGATAAATTGTTTATCAGAACACTTTTCCAAATTTATTATATGATTTTGGTCGATTAGTTTGTTGAGTTCGTTTTCCACTCTTTCTTGTAGATGAATCGGAATACGTCGACCCTTTTATTGAATCGGTGTAACGCCCGGGATGAATTGTGTTTTCTTTACATGATTTTTTGTTTTTCCAATTCTCACGCATAAGTTTTCGAAGTTTTTTCTTACCCAATGTTTTATACCGGGGTTTGATGTGTTTTCTTCTGTTATAATCAACCTTTGCTTATGCTGTGGTTGTTCTTGAATTAATTTTATACCGATGCTTGAGAGTAAATTACGGCCGAAAATGTTGGCCTTTTGGCCGTTGACCACGATAAATGGAGCCGACTGGATAGTCCACCCACCGGATTCTATTGCTAGGATTAGTCGTCTCTTCAGAATAATAACTTTTCCTTTATAGCAAGCTAGATTTCGTGCGGTATTTTCCGGCGGGATTTTTTTTTAATAGTAGTTTTATCGTTTTGATGTATTCGACGTGCCGTAGTTTCATTTAGGAATGAAATTGGACTCCGTGAATCCGCAATGGCAAGAATTTCCTCGGATTTTGTTTTTAGTTTCACAATATGTCCATTTAAATCTTCCTCACTCATTTTCGCCGTTTGTTTAATTTCGAATGAATCTGAATTTTACAAAATGGAATAATTATCTCTTTGTAATTCCTCCCAACCGTTTTGTGACGTGAAATCTGCGAAAGCCACTGGGTCATTATCCTCGTTGTCCTGGTGCTGGCTTTCATTTTCATCTCGTGATTCATTATCAGCGTTATTTTGATGAAATTTTACATGATTCAGCGACATACCTTTGCAAAACGTCCGCGTTTTGCACATTTCGTGCAAATTTGATCTCGGGCTGGACATGATTGTAAATGGTTTGGGCTAAACGGATTTCCTTATTTGTAGCATTATTTTTGTGGAGCGTAATTTTGTGTACTTCTGTTTTGATTTCCCCTTGTGTTTTTATTTTGTCTTCCCCCCGAGTACTTTCCTCTATTGTTGTTCTGAAAAGGAGATGAAAATCCGCCACGTTGAATGTAACGCATTGGCTCTTGCTTGATCGCAACGGACGAATTTGTTCCGATGGGGTTTAACTTCATAGTTTTGCTATGTTCAAGCCCTTCTCGCGTCTCATTGCATATTCATATGCTTCTTGTGTTCTTGTTTCAGCCAGTAATTCCTCGGCGATTTTTTCATTGTTCATGTGGGCGATGAACATATCACGAACCCATTCATTTTCCCTATCTCCACAGTCTGCGCGGGACGCTAACTACTAGATCCGCGTGTAATTGTTCTAGTGTTTCATTTTTTCTTTGTTTACGGCAGATAAAGTTGTATCTTTCGAATGCTATGATTCTATGGGTAATAAAAATTTCTTCTAATACCTGTATTAGCTGTCTTGTCATTGTCGTCTGTATATTTAGCCCTGGTCGCTTCTGTTGGACCTGTCTCTGACCTTCCATGCCTAGGCATAGAAATAGGTAGCTTCGCTCTCTCGCATCCGCTTCGTCCCAGTTTACGGAGTTACACATAACGCCTTTGTCTCTTGCTTTGTGGTAACTATTCTCACAATTTACATTCTTTTCTTGGTTTCTTACATCTCTATTTCTCCGTTGTGCGTCCGTTTCTCCCTGTATCTCGACTTCCAAAATTGGTTCAGATGGCAGAGTAACCTCAGGTTTCTCACGTAGTAGATTTCGGATCTCTATTCCGTCTTTTGCGAAAACCGCGAGCTCTACAAGTGCCAACCACTTACTCCATTCTAGTGGGGGCTCTGCTGATGCTTTCTCCCAGAACGAGTTTATATTGAGAGGGTTTTTCGCTGATCCTGCTGACTGCGCCATGTCATACCCGTAGGTATGCGTAATGTTTAATATTGAATCCGAATGGATTGGTGAGCTAATTATGAAAGAGACTAAGACGTAAATAAGACAACTGAATCATAACTGTTTATTTTTATCTTCTGTTGACAAATCACTAAATTCCTTGTTTAGCCTTGTCTTTCAAGGTCACTTGACCAGCTCAACGCAGTGAGCCTAATAAATAACTATACATAATATATATTGCCAATCCTAATAAATAACTATACATAATATATATTGCCAATCCGGATGACAAAGTTCATAGGTTAAGTTATCAAAGATTACTCAGTGAGTTTTTTAAGCTCAGAAGTGCATTGATATTATTTTAGGCATGTCTTCAGCTTCCGAATCTATAGAAGTCTTGTCATTTCTATCATCAGAGAAAATGGGCGAATCGTACTATCAAGATTTTGCATCTCCGCCCAAGCTCAACGTGCTCCACAAAGCGCTAAAACACGGAGACGGATCATCTTCCAGTTCTGGAAATAACCAGCACTCGCCTAATAGTGGTTCAGACTATGGTGTAGAGGAATCTGCGTCACCTTCAGAACCTGGGGACTCAGAAATTCCTCTTAATGAACATGAACCCAGTGAAGAAGCACCCGTTGCTGAACAACGCAATATACATCAAAACGAACAAATATCTGTAAATGTTTCGTCCGAACGTTTAGGGTCCTCAAATACGGAAGTTACAAATAGTTCCCAAACAGTTCAATCGTGGTTAATGGTCACAGACTCAACGGCCAGCACCATCTCAACAAGTAGTACTGTGGTCTCTACCAGTCCTACAGTGTCCGCCTTTCAACCCGATCTGCTTCCGGTTAACAGCGATGAGAGCATTGCGACATTGGAGCCAGTAGCCCAAGATTTATATTCTTTTCATGGTGATCATTCTGAAAACAGTGGCAGTTCAACTCTAGAGATCAGAGCCATAACACCACCAGATATCCAGCAAATGACATCACATTATAATCCAACACCAATGTCTGATTCTCTGCAACCCTTGCCTGACGTGCAATTAAACACATCGTTCAATCAAAGTGAAGACGGTGAGACTGTTGTTCAGATTCCAGACTTGACAAATAGTTCCAGAGAACGACCGGATATTTTTCCATCTGAAGAGGTGCCTGGAAGTCCAAGACAGAATCAGGCAGTTGATTTAGTAGTTCAAGAATTGGATGTCATAAGTGCAGTGGATCAGAGCTCTGCGCGATTGAACGAAGAACTAGCAAATAACGAAGAGTTACTCCGGGCGGACGAAAGAGTGGACACAGCACCCAACGCGATTGACGTTGTAGTTCAAGAGTTAGACGTCGTCCAAGGCATGGATCTGCCGTCTAGTAATGCTATGACATCATTAGATATTTTGCCTACAAATATGGAACCTGATTTAACCAGAGGCGAAGATGGAAGTAGATATCGAGAAGAAGAAGTTTCAGCAAATGAAATTGCGATGCAACAGATAAGTATTTTGAATGAACTTCCAGCTGCTACAATGGATCGAACCGGATCCGCCAATGCTTCAATGCACTCGAGCTCACCTGAAAACCAGGTGAGTTAATCTGTAGTATGAATAGTATAATCATATGCATGTCTAAACCAATTCAAAAATAATTGTGACGGCTGAATAAAGTTAAAGGTGTTTTAGCTGAGAGAAGGAGAGCGAACTGCAATAATCGACGAGTTGTTAGAGGTATGCGTAATTTAGACTAAAACTCATCGAAGTTTGACTCGGATATCTGAAGTATCCTATATATCATTGCTTTGATAATAGAAGATCCAGAGTCTGGAGGAAACTGTGCATGCCAGAGAGCATCAGCTGATATCTGTGAACAAGAGGGCAACTGATGCACAAGAGGAGAACGAAGAGCTGAGAAGGTAAAATGATTATCGATATTTATGTTCTTAATGGAACGGACAGTTTGGGTTAAAATTAGTTCCAACTCTTCACACTTGCGAAAGCAAGAGTCTTGTAATCGGGAACAAGACTTTTCCCCCCGTAAACAACTTTTCTTATAAATTTAACTTGATTTATTTTTACATCTTAACAATTTCCTGGTTCTTGTGCACTTGGAATAGAGTTAATGCCGTCGTCTTTGTACCCTAAGGTGCGGGGTTCGAATCCCGGCCGGATGTTTTTTTCAGTATGTATGCGATTGATTTTTTTTTCGGTAAAAATTGATTTGTCTTGACTTTCGTTTATTTGCTCAAGTTTTGTCGGCTTAATTGCCACTTGCTGATTTTTCTGATGCTGTAAGCAAGTATAATGGTTGTTGAAAGTGTTGTTTATTGTAGTTTCAGAGGGACTTGTAATTTTTTAAAGTGGTATTAAAAATTCTTTTTTTTTTTCGGCTCAACTGGTGTCTGCTCTAAAAATGTTGTTTTGTTTCCGCTTCGTAAGTTTTGTTCCGCTGCCAAATTAGAGTTCAAATGTCTTGCTTGTTATGCTTGCCTAGAATTCCTGTTTGCTAAAAACAAATGTTATGAAAATGCATGGGATTGGGTTTTATTTTTATTTTTTTTTCTGAGACGCTTTGGATTTTTTCACTTTTAGCAAATTTTTTCTCGAGACTAGCAGTAGAAAGAATGAAATTCACCTGTGTGTCTGCATAATTGGCTAGTCTGTTTTTACTATACCCCTCTTCTGTCCACAGCTTTCGAAAAAGTCAGTGAGGAATATTTGAACCATATTTTTGGTTTTTTCTCTTTTTATTTTTCTAGAAAATCAACCTCGCAAATCTGTAATTGTAAGTGAAATGGAAATAACGGGTTGTGGGAAGCTCCCCTGCATTATCGGCTCTTCATAAATTATTTACACAAAAAAAGATCGCTCTCGGAAAAGCCATGTACTATATATTCTCAAAAACTAAATTCCCATATTTAAGATTTTTTTGGTTCAATCCAAAGAACTGGTTATGTAAAGCTGCTCTGTGTACGCGACTACACCTAAATTTTTTTGCACAAAGTTATGGCCCTCGGAAATGTCAGTTTTGATTTTTTAACCGTTTTTTAAAACACTGACTTTTCTCGAGAACTACCATCCCAAATCGGAGTTTTTGGATTCATTCCAAAAAACGGAATGTGGGAAGCTCTTTTGCATCAGCTACTACGCCCAAATTTATCTAACGCAAGGCTATGTTACTGGGGAAGTTTTTGATTTGCTGACCGTTTCTTGGACTTTTTAGACGCGATAATTATCCTGCCAAATTTGATATCAAAGGCTTAATCGGAAAAACAAGTTGTTGTAAGCCTGCTCCATAGTTGGCTACCCCAACTTGACCGTTTTTTTGGAATTTTTTGACTTAACTCGAAAAGTACTGTTCCAATTTTCATGTTAAGTATTCAATCCCGCGGAATAAAAACTTTACCTAGTTGGGTTCATGTTATCAAAAAAAGCGATAATCATAAATTGTTCTAGAAATTCAAAGAGCTTAAAAGGCATCTATTTTTTTCTTTGAAATTCGAAATTTTTTCAAGAAAGTCAGTGTTCAGGGTTTACTTGCGTTCATTAATCTTTTCTAATCTTCGATTGGCTATGTTTTAGAAACTTTTTAGATTTTTAAAAATTCACTACAATCTGAGATGAAAATTTCAATCGAAAGAACCGGTCGCGAGAATTTTTCTTGCTGAAGCGGAGAAAGTTTTGTAAAAGAAAATTCCAATATCTCAAAAATTTTGACTCCTCTCACTTATTTTATTAGAGAAGCAATTACAGGTTTGGGCGAAGTCCAATTTTTGAAATGACGTATTGCGTCTCGCATCAGTAGTAAAAAAAATTGACAGCATCAAATACGTACCTCCAGCTTCAGCTGGCCCCCGAGTTGTCTTATTTTTTCAATGTTTTAGTTTTTTGATCGATTTAAGTTTTTTTTTGTGTTTTTGTTGCCTCTGTTGAGAAGTTTTTGGCAGAACTCAATTTGAAAGGGCTTTTTTATCCTTTGCTTTCCGAAATTATTCAGCTTGAGATAGTGTTATGGTCTGAATTAATGGCTGAATGTCGTTTTTTCAGTCAGCTGGAGATGCAGTTTCAGAGGCTGGACGAGGAGACCAGTAGGTTGAATGAAGCACACCAGCTGGAGCTGAACACAGTCACCATCAAGTACAACTCCAGCCAGCAGAGACTGAAGGAGCTGGAGAAACAGATGCACGACTTCAAAACTGCATCGTAAGCAAATTATGGTCATTACAGACGACATGCTGAGATTAGAATACTCAATTATTAATAGACTAATAAGACAGGCCAATCTTTTCTATGAAAGTATTAGTTTGATGGTCTGCTTGACAAGTTCATTTAGAGGTCGTTGAGTTTTAAGGAATCGGCTGACTGACAGAAGCGCTGTTTTATAGTATCAGAGTTGCGGCAAAGGGTCGACAATCTCAAGTTACCGCGGTATTGAATAAAACTTTGAGGGTTTGCGTAAATAAAATTAATTCATAACCACTAGTGGCTGGCAAGATTAATGATGAAGTCAGTTGAAGTGAATGGAAGTCTTGACAATTAGTGAATTCTGCTGTCAGGTCTTTCTCGGCGCAGCTGCAGGCGTCGTTGAGTCAGAAGGATGCGATGATTGAGGAGATGAGGGCTGAAGGTGAGAAGTTGGCCCAGGAGGAATACAAGAAGAACAGTCTCATCAAGAAACTCAAGGCCAAAGAGAAAGAACTGCAGACCAGTCTGGACAAAACCAAGTAAGAATGTTGTTTTGCAAGTCTTATAAGAGTCGATGAACGCAGTGGTTTTTTTTCAGGAAAAAAGTTTTTAAAATGCTCTAATAACTACAGGTATGCATTCATACATGTTAATGCATTTATGAATGCACTTAGGTATATATATTCACTTTTTGGTAAAATGTTAAAATAGGTGGTGATTTTGAGTATAGTGCATCTATCAAATTAGAACTATAATGCATAAAGTAGTCCTTTTATTTTCAATCAATATTTTCATGCTACGAAGATAGTTTTTGTAAATACGTTACTCTGCCAGATAAAGATTTATTTAAAAGTTCAAGTTTTACACTTTTGCCAAACATATGGCTTTTGAAATTAATTATAAATCGTGTTCGAAATATATAAATAAGCGATCCAGCTATTTAACTTGAACCTGCCACCTTTTGTAATATATCACCCACTTTTTGAATTAAATTTAAATGCATCTGCTGAAAATTAGTTAAATTTCACTGTCCAACTACGAACGTGGAATTGGCGAGAAAAACGTGAACTAGTTTCGAAAATGGATTTAAATTTTCGGATTTCCCATCAGAATAATAAATTTACCTATTGATCCAATTTTCTCAAATTGGGTTTAATTTATCAAAATAGTGTCAATCAAAAATTTTCCTCGAAATGCAAAGATCTTTAAGATATATATATTTTTTGAATTCGAATGTTGGCTATTTTTAAATGATTGTTCATTTTGATTTAAATGATTGTTCATTTTTGAGTGCTATCTTTTGAGGTCAAACAATTGGTCCTTCAATTTGATTTCAATTTTTACTAGGCGTTTTATTCCATTGCAATCACCCCCTTTGTTATTAATCGTATTCCATGTTCTTTGCTTTAAGACAAAATCTGGATGATAAGACGAGCGAGTTAACTTCAGTTACAGAAAGCTTCACTAAGCTACAGCAGAAAGTAGCCGAACAGCGAGACACCATCACCCAAATGAATGCCACGATGACCAGAAACGAGTCACTTCTCAGTAAAAAGACGAACGAAAACGACGAGTTGGTGGAGAAAACAAGCGCGCTACAAAATAATTTAGACTCAGTGTTCCGAGAACTGCGTGAACTGCAACAGCAAATGGCAGATAAAGACGCCAAATTTGCGCAGTCACAAGCAGTGGTTAATGAGGAAATACTGCAGGAGAAAGAGGAATTGCTGAGGAGTCTGCAGTGTAAGTGGGAGGAGGAGCGGGAACTGTTGAGTCAGCAGGTGCAGGATGCAAACACGAGTGTGGCGAGGATGGAACAGGCGGCAGCTAGGAGGGAGAATCTACTCAAGGATGAGATCAAGGACCTCCAGATGGTGAGAGACTAATCTGGTATTGTAGGGTCCAGATAAAGAGGTTCGCGTTCAACTTGAGACATGAGTGAACGTAATGCTGGTGCCATTTATGACAACTTCACTAAAGTGGAGTTGAGATTTATGTCTCTCTCGTGTGATGGAATTTTATGTCTCTGTGGTGTGATGAATAGTTCAAGAAGTATCCTCAATTTAGTAATTCGTAATTTTAGCTACTTAAGTAGATGTGTCGTATCTCATTCACTTGTATTTAATGCAAGTTGATTGATGCTTAATAAACGTATCAAACTCGATGTTGCTTGTAGAGATTAGAGGAAGAAATGCAGCGAGGTCAGGGGTTAAGTGAGGGCGTCTCTCAGGCGACACAGCCTCTGTGGAATCAGATATCGAGGCTGCAGCGTCAGCAGCAGGATCAGCAGTCGCAGTGGAGTCAACTGGAAAAGAACTATCTCGACAGACTGGCAGAGGCCGAGTCACGTGCGGGGCAAGCAGCCGAATCAGAAAGGTATGTGACGTGAATACATAGCATATTGTTTTGGAATAAAAAGCTTTGTCTTTGCTTTTAGGAATACTGTTAGAATAAAAACGACCTCGGCTAAAGTTTTGGTAATCAAAATTACTGCCTATATCTTGTTTAAGAGTAATGAACGTAGTGAGTACTCTTATATAGGTCTTGCTGATTTTTTTTTGTTTTTAAGGAAAAAGTCTTAAGATTTGTTCACGCTCAGTTTTGATTTTTTGCGGTTTGACTCATGATTTCTTAAGTTCATTACATTTCCATTGTTTACGCAAGCATAGCTTGTGTTATAGAATGAACTATCTTTTTTTCCAAACTAAGTCGCAAATATTACTGCGATGCAATTGTTGCGGCAAAATAATTTCATGTTGAAAATGTTAATTTTGATCCAGGTATTAAGTAAAACCAATGCTAAGGATATTAACACCGACTATTATTTTACAAATAGCACTTTAGCTTCAAGGTATCATGGATGTGTAGCCTGGAGGTAGGGAAGGAGACCAGCAACAAAGTAAGAGGATTCGAATTTGGGCAGGGTCGGATGTTTTTAATGAACTTTTTTTGTATACTAGATAAAATTGAGGCATGTTAAATGGTAAATTCCTGTTTGATTAAAACAGGTATTCTGAAAATGTTTGAAATTGGGTTTTTTTTAACACAAAAAGTTATGGCCCTCAGAAAACTCAAATTTTCAGTTTTTTGACCGTTTTTTTTTGAATTTTCATTTGACTTTTCTCAAAACTACCTTTCAAAATCTAAGATTTGAATTTTAATCGAAGGGGAGGGTTGTAAAAAGCTCTCATGCACAAGCGATTACTCTCAAATTTGTTCATCCAAAAAAAAATAACCCTCGGAAAAGTTTAGGCATCTCTCAAACTAACAAGCTCTTGTAATCACTTCAGTTGTTAAGAAAATTGAAGTAATTAATGAAATTATCAGACTTTAAAGTCATTATATTGGGATTTATTTTTTTTTGCTATAGGTATGTTTTTGAAATTACCCTTGTCCTTTCGCATCAATACAAAAATTTCAAAAATTATCAAACAGATATTGCCAGCTGTAGCTGGCCTCTAATAGGTTTTTTTTTCAAATTGTATGGTACTGCTAAAGCGTCATAATTGGCTTGCGTCACTTAATAATTATGTAGACTCATAATTGGCTTGCGTCACTTAAGTTTTACTCGTTCAGTTTTTCCCAGTATCATTATCGGTAATAGTTTTGCTTGTGTATGCGAAGTGCAACTTTGCCACTCAGTAAACGGAAAGGAAACTCCTCTATCGAACAGCAAAGTTGTAAAGGTCACGAAAAACGTGATCGACTTCTAATTTCGAAAATGGAAATTAATTTTCAGATTTCCCAGCGAAATAAAAGTTTTACCTATTGATCCAGTTTTCTCAAATTGGGTTAATTTTAACAAAAAAGTGTCCATAATAAATTGTTCTAGAAACTGAAAGAGCTTTAAAGGCCATTTAATTTTTTCTTCGAAAGTCAAAAGTTGAAGTCGTTTTTTTTTCAGTTTTTTTTTCAGTCATAACTCTTTTCCAACTGTCAGTTGGCTATGTTTGAAATTACGCGATGAAGCTCAAAATCTTTTCGATTGAGTGTTTGTGTCTTAAAATGAGGAGGAAGGCGTTGAAAGGGGTTATTGATACAACTGAATATTTTGTTTTATATTGGCGTGAGTAGGATTGCAACCGAGAGTGCAGTGGAGCTGAAGATCAAAATGTCCTCTTTGGAAGCGCAGCTGGCCACGGTGAGGTCGGAGCATTCGAAGAGTGTAAAAATTAACGAACAGAAGGACTCCGATTTAGAGAGACTCAGGGAACAAGTGGCCACGTAAGTTTTTCAGCAAAAAAGTATGATTAGCGCACTATCTTTTTGTATCAGTCGCGCTCTTTTTGCTGTAAGGAGAAATAAACGAGCCGTGTTTTCATGAAGCGGACCACTGGGCACCCAAATGGCCCCTTATTATTGTATTTTTGGATGAAACTCATTTTTAATTGACCAAACCCCTTTAGAAATTGAGAGCACCTTAAATCGTAATTTACGCCAAATTTGATAAGGGAAGCGCGCACCGAAAAACATTTTTTTTTGTCGGCGCCTTCAAAAAGTGTTCATAAGAGCATACAGGCTTAATACTTTGCTTATAGTATTTTAAAAGATCTAATTAATTCGGTTAGACCTAAAAAAAACTTCATATCGTTTGATTTTTAAAAATCTTTATTTTACCCTCAAAAAATCCTAGATCTGCCCCTAAATATTTGTATTGTGAGATCAAATTATTCTTAAATTGACCGCTAAAGGATGGCAAAATGTTGACTGCATATCAGGTTGAAAGAGGAGTTGGTCGTATCGAACGAGAAAAGTGCAATGGTGGAGAGGCAACTGAGTGTTGTGCAGGCAGAGATGGACTGTGAGAAACAGGCTCTGGAACAAGTCAAGAGGAAGTGTAGGACACTGGATGAGCAAAACAGAGAAATGGTAGGACTTCATTACATCGCCTTATATAGCATTTTTAAGGGTTCTGAAAGCAGGGACTCATATTACAGTAAAGCATTTGAAATGAACGAAAACTTGTTTCGATGATTTCAGAAATTCCAAGCATAGATCAACTGATCAAGCATGATCAAATGTGTTGATTTTCCGAAAGTAATGGTTCTGAAACACATGTTTTTATCACATGTTTTTTAAAATGGCCGTAAGTTATGTTGATTTGGTGAATACTTGGTGACTGCAGATGATTAGCTTGTGTTATAGTGTGAACTCTCTTTTTTTTTCAACCTAAGTCGCAAATATTGTTGCGACAAAATATTGTTGGTACAAAATGTGTTTATTTTGATCAATAACCAGCTATTAAGTACAGCCAATGCTAAGGATTTTAACACAGACTATTATATTACAAATAGCACTTAAGCTTCAAGGTATCATTAATCTGCAGCGTAGAGGTAGGGAAGGAGACCCGCAACAAAATAAGAGGGTTCGAACCTGGGAAGGGTCGGATGTTTTCGTTTTTAATGAAGTTTTTCGTATACTAGTTAAAGTGTGTCCACTATAAGTTGAGACATGTTAGTTGGAATTTTTTTTCAATTTGACTGGTACTGCTAATGCGTCATAATTGGCTTGCGTCTTGCGTCACTTAGCAGTTATGTAGACTAGGCCTTTCACGACTTTGCCTTTCACTCATTTTATGTCCTGATATTTCCATGGTTGTTCATAGATATTTTAAGTTTGATTAAACTTTCTAACACTGTGATGATATAAATCCAAGCATAGATGAACTGATCTCCTGACGATTTTGTTGAGCTGATAAACTGTTCAAAATTGGATTCTCTTTTCGAAACTGCCGGGTTGAAAATGTGTTGATGTTCTTAGAGGAATGTTTTAACTCAATTTTTTTTTTACAAGCTGTAACTTTTTTGATTTGATCAATACTTGTGTTTTTTATAATAACAAGTCCTAAGAAATATAAATTGATCTTCACGATTCAGTTTTGTGAAAGGTTTACCATTTGTGGATCGAACGTTTTTGTTAGTGACTGTTGCGATTTTGCCTTTCACTCATAATATGATCTGATGTTTTCATGGTTGTTCCTAAGTTTTTCAAGTTCTAGACAATTCTAGCGTTGTGATGAAATAATTTCAAGCGTATATCAATTGATCTCCTGACGATTAACTTTAACTGATGTTTTTTTGTGGTTTTGATTTTTCAAGGTACTTGTTTGCAAGTTTGTTACGGTTGATATTATTTCCTGTGTTTTCGGGACACCCATTGTTTGAGCGATTTTTAAATCAGATTCCAGTTTTTTTGTGTTGATGGTCTTAAAAGAATGTTCTTACCCTACTTTTTTACAAGCTGATAAGTTCGCTGATTCGGCCAATACTTGTTTTTTTGATAATATTAAGTCCTAGGAAAGATAAATTGATCTTCATGGTTCAGTTTTCCGAAAAATTTAACCATTTGCAGGTCGAAAGGTTTTTTAGTCACTGTTGCTATTTTGTCTTTAAATTAATATTTGTCCTGATGTTTCAATGGTTGTTGATAAATCATTCATTAATTTTACTAACACGGTGATGATATAACTTCAAGCATAGATCAACTGATCTCCTGACGATTAAATTGAACTGATTCTTTTTTTGTGATTGTGATTTTTCAAGGTACTTGTTTGCAAGTTTGTTACGGTTGATATAATTTCCAGTGTTATCGGGACACGCCTTGTTTGAGCGATTTTTGCATCAGATTCCAGTTTTTTTTTTGCTTACACTTACTGTTTTTTAGTGTTATTTCCACGCATGCAACCACTGATTCCCGGAAATTTTGTTTGATCTGATGGAAGTTTGAATTGTCTTGTTTATTTATTTGATTCATTTCATGGGTATATTTTTTATCTCAGCGGTTTTTGAAATGTCTAAATCTCAGTCTTTTTGAAATGTTTTTTTTTGTCAATTTTATTGAGCTGATCAAATGTTGAAAGTGGTTTTTTTTCCGAAACTGCTGGGTTGAAAATGTGTTGATGTTCTTAGAGGAATGATTTTATTTCTACTTTTTTTCAAGCTCTTAAGTTTGCTGATTTGGTCAATACTTTCAAAACTTGTTTTTTTGATAATAACAAGTCCTAGGAAAGATAAATTGATCTTCATGATAGTTTTCCGAAAGGTTTTACCATTTGTTGGTCGAACGGTTTTTTTAGTCACTGTTGCGATTTTGTCTTTCACTTATTATTTGTCCTGATGTTTCAATGGTTGTTCTTAAATAATTTATGTTTGATTAAACTTTCCAACACGGTGATGATATAAATTCAAGCATAGATCAACTGATCTCCTGACGATTAAAAAGAACTGATTTTTTTGTGATTGTGAGTTTGCAAGGTACTTGTCTGCAAGTTTGTTACGGTTGATATTATTTCCAGTGTTATCGGGACACGCATCGTTTGAACAATTTTATAATCAGATTCCTTTTTTTTTGTGTTGATATTCTCAGAGGAATGTTTTTACCCTACTTTTTTACAGGCTCTTAAATTTGCTGATTTGGTCAATACTTGTTTTCTGATAATAACAAGTCCTAGGAAAGATAAATTGATCTTCATGATAGTTTTCCGAAAGGTTTAACCATTTGTATGTCAAACGGTTTTGTTAGTCACTGTTGCGATTTTGTCTTTCTCTAATTATTTGTCCTGATGTTTCAATGGTTGTTCTTAAACAATTTATGTTTGATTAACTTTTCTAACACGGTGATGATATAAGTTCAAGCGTAGATCAACTGATATCCTGGTGATTAAATTGAACTGCTTTTTTGTGATTTTGATTTTTCAAGGTACTTATTTGCAAGTTTAGTACTTTTGATTTTATTTCCCGTGTTTTCTTAGAGGATTGTTTTTACCCTTCTTTTTTACAAGCTCTTAAGTTTGCTGATTTGGGCATTACCTGGTTTCTGATAATAACAAGTCCTAGGAAAGATAAATTGATCTTCATGATGCAGTTTTCCAAAAGGCTTTACCATATGTAGGTCGAACGGTTTTTTTAGTCACTGTTGCGATTTTTCTTTCTTTAATTATTCGTCCTGATTTTTCGATGGTTGTTCTTAAATATTTTTTATGTTTGATTAAACTTTAACAATGTGAGGATATAATTTCAAGCATAGATCAACTGATCTCCTGACGATTAAAATGAACTGATTTTTTTTCTGATTTTGATTTTTCAAGGTACTTGTTTGCAAGTTTAGTACGGTTGATATTTTTTCCCGTGTTTTCGGGACACGCATTGTTTGAATGATTTTATAATCAGATTCCTTTTTTTTGTGTTGATATTCTCAGAGAAATGTTCTTACCCTTCTTTTTTACAAGCTCTTAAATTAGCTGATTAGGTCAATACTTGGTTGATGATAATAACAAGTCCTAGGAAAGATAAATTGATCTTCATGATGCAGTTTTCCGAAAGGATTTACCATTTTTAGGTCGAACGGTTTTTTCAGTCACTGGTGCGATTTTTCTTTCATTAATTATTTGTGCTGATGTTTCACTGGTTCTTACATAATTCATGTTTGATAAAACTTTTTAACACGATGGTGATATAATTTCAAGCATAGATCAACTGATCTCCTGACGATTAAATTGAACTGATTCTTTTTTTGTGATTTGGATTTTTCAAGGTACTTGTTTGCAAGTTACGGTTGATATTATTTCCCGTGTTATCGGGACACTCATTGTTTGAACGATTTTTAAATCAGAGTCCAGTTTTTTTTTGTGTTGATGTTCTTAGAGGATTGTTTTTACCCTTCTTTATTACAAGCTCTTAACTTTGCTGATTTGGTCAATACTTCAGTAATCTGCAGCGTAGAGGTAGGGAAGGAGACCCGCAACAAAATAAGAGGGTTCGAACCTGGGAAGGGTCGGATGTTTTCGTTTTTAATGAACTTTTTCGTATACTAGTTAAAGTGCGTCCACTATAAGTTGAGACATGTTAGTTGGATTTTTTTTTTCAATTTGACTGGTACTGCTAATGCGTCATAATTGGCTTGCGTCTTGCGTCACTTAGCAGTTATGTAGACTAGGCCTTTCACGACTTTGCCTTTCACTCATTTTATGTCCTGATATTTCCATGGTTGTTCATAGATATTTTAAGTTTGATTAAACTTTCTAACACTGTGATGATATAAATCCAAGCATAGATGAACTGATCTCCTGACGATTTTGTTGAGCTGATAAACTGTTCAAAATTGGATTCTCTTTTCGAAACTGCCGGGTTGAAAATGTGTTGATGTTCTTAGAGGAATGTTTTAACTCAATTTTTTTTTACAAGCTGTAACTTTTTTGATTTGATCAATACTTGTGTTTTTTATAATAACAAGTCCTAAGAAATATAAATTGATCTTCACGATTCAGTTTTGTGAAAGGTTTACCATTTGTAGATCGAACGTTTTTGTTAGTGACTGTTGCGATTTTGCCTTTCACTCATAATATGATCTGATGTTTTCATGGTTGTTCCTAAGTTTTTCAAGTTCTTGACAATTCTAGCGTTGTGATGAAATAATTTCAAGCGTATATCAATTGATCTCCTGACGATTAACTTTAACTGATGTTTTTTTGTGGTTTTGATTTTTCAAGGTACTTGTTTGCAAGTTTGTTACGGTTGATATTATTTCCTGTGTTTTCGGGACACCCATTGTTTGAGCGATTTTCAAATCAGATTCCAGTTGTTTTTTGTGTTGATGGTCTTAAAGGAATGTTCTTACCCTACTTTTTTACAAGCTCATAAGTTCGCTGATTCGGCCAATACTTGTTTTTTTTTTTGATAATATTAAGTCCTAGGAAAGATAAATTGATCTTCATGGTTCAGTTTTCCGAAAAATTTAACCATTTGCAGGTCGAAAGGTTTTTTAGTCACTGTTGCTATTTTGTCTTTAACTTAATATTTGTCCTGATGTTTCAATGGTTGTTGATAAATCATTCATTAATTTTACTAACACGGTGATGATATAACTTCAAG